AAGAGTAAGGTTTTTGTGATTAACCCAACCCTAGGTCATATCTTGGTGGGTCCTTATCGGTTTGATTAAAGATGATTTTTATTAAGCAAAACATATTAAGTTTAGTAGACCTCCGAGGTATCCAACAGGTTTGGAGAAAGAAGCAGGTTCATGCTTCCCTCTCACTTCCTGGAGAAAAGTCTCAAGCTCATTTTAAACATATTATGTTGCTTAATAACTCATCCTGTAAATACCCTTAATGCTCAGTGAACATTGATATTTCAATTACCCCTAAGAGTACAATTACCCCTAAGAGTAAGGTAATTAACATTTATAACTTAATTTGAAAATTATGTAGGTGGAAACCTTTAAAGGGGCAAGTTATTGTCATCAAGGCACTTAGCCAACTTTTGATTTAGGCTTGTAGTGTTTTTTTAAAGGTATTCAATTTTTAATTATGTTCACTTTTCTAATCCTCTTTTAACTAAATTTGATTTAACTTAGCTCACAACTAAGCCCTTAATATTTTGGTGGATGTCTTGATTATTTCGAAAAGGTTTGAATCTTAAGTGATGATGATTCATTTTTGAAAGTCATTTGAGCATCAAAAATAGGGGTATTAAATCAGTGAGTTATCAACACCCAAAATCACACCCCTAAGTCTAGGATCATCTAATTGACTATGCTTCCAAATTTTAATAATTTAAGAAAATTACAAATTTATCCTTTGATTAATAAAAGTGAGATGATTAATAAAAGTGAAATAAAAGTGAGATTAGTTTCTACCAATTGATCCCCTTGTGTTTCAATCATCTAAATATGTTGATTAAGATCAAAGATTACTCATTTCCTTTTTTAACTTAATCCTAAATGTTAATTAAGGCTAAATTTCAAAAATTACATTATTGCCCCTAAGACCCTATCACTTCATAATTTATCAAATTTAATTTAAATGACTTTGAAATTTTTATTCTGCCTCACTTAAGACATCAAAGAAGAAATATGATTTTTCAAATTTTAATTTAATTTACATATTTATTTTATGCAAAAGTAGGATTTTTCAAAGAAAATTTCATATCTTAACCAAGACAAACCTAATCTCTTAAAATTTTTACTATAGGTAGACTTAGACCAGAGAACTATTGGGGAAAAATTTCATGATTTATTGAGTTTTATTTGAAATATTAGAATTGTTTTAAGTTTTGGAGAATTTATTAATTATAAAATATTTTAAATGTGGAAAATTAAGTTTTATATTTTTATTAAATCTATCTAAGGTTACGGAACCCAGAGAAATAAATTTCATATTTATTTTTATTTTTCTTTGAATTGTTAGAATTATTTTAGTGAAAATCCACTCTTAGCCTTTAAAAATTATCTTAAGCTTAAAAATTCAATATCTTCACTTAGAAAATTAGAAAAAATATTCCAATTGTTCTTAAGTGCTTAAGAAGCAATTTAGAATATTTTCATGAATTTTATTACTTTTATGATTTTTATTATTTTTTAATTATTTAAATATTAAAAATGGACTTGAAAATGGAATTTTTATTTTAATTAAAAATTTATTTTTAGAAAATTCCTCTGATCACAGAGAACTTCCAAAACCAATTTTTATAATTTAAGTCTTGTAGTTTTTCATATTAGCACCTGCAGTATTTTAGAATTATTTTTCAAAAAAAAAAATCAGAACATTCAAGAGGTATGAATTTTCTTTATGTATTTAATGTTTTCTTTCACCCTTTATTTTTAAAGTTCTTCATGCTAAATCTTTTGAAAATTTAAGTTTGGGGGGAAAGAAAAATTACTTTTAAAAAGAAGGAACTTAATTTTATTTGTCCCCACTTAACTATATTTTCAAAATTTTAAATTTAACATGATCTTTGGTATTAGGGGTTAACTTTAGATAACTATATTTATGTTTCTAAATATATAATAAATTTAAGTAAAAATTTTTCAATAATAAAGGTTAATTCTAGAGACTAAGATATCTGGTAAAAAATGATAAGACTATGTTATTCTGTTTTAAGTAAGGAAATTTGTATTTTTGAAGTATTAAAAATCTTAAAAATTTCATGTAAAAAGAAAAGAATTAAACTTTATGAAATCTTTAAGTTAATATAATTTTTTTAAGTGAAAAAATATAAAAAGTTTTTAACTTTAAGAAGAGGATAGTGAAGTTTAAAATCATTAAATGATATCCAGATATAATAATCTTCACATAAAAAAAAGAAAAGAAAGAAAAGAAAAATGGATTAAAAATGATCCTTGAAAATGATCCTAAAAGAAAAGAGAAGGAAAAGAAAAGAAAAAAAGATGTGAGGAGATGCTTGAGGAGATCCCTAATCAAAAATTGGCTTCACTTAAATCAACTTAAGGAAGAAGGCTTTGCTACATTCTCTAAACTTGTATTTAAGTATTAGAATGTTTTCTAATAAAGAAATCATGAATTTTATTTTCATATGGATATTCTAAGTGGCTTTAATATGATAATTTTCAAAAAATCTTGGAGTTAATTTCTAAATATCCTTACACCTTTAGTATTAACTGAAGTTGTTTTGAATTTTTTTTAAGTTATACTATTATGTTTAGAGAATTAAAATATGGAAATCTAGAAGATAAATTCTTTACCATAAGTCATAATTTTATGTAGTAGAGGAGTTACTTGAGGACAAGTAACATATAAGTTTAGGAGATTTTGATACACCAAAAATATATGCATTTTGCAGTTTTAGACCCATATTTTATATTTATTTTTGGTGATATTGCACTTTAATGGAAGGTATTTTGATGTTTTCTTGCAGGTTATTGATTTTTAGGATTTAAATCTAAAAAGAAGCAAAAATGATGGAATTTGGAATCAAAATGATGTTTTTGAAGAAATACTCAGCGCCGACCGCGCAGAACAACAGAACAGACTGAGAATTTTACTTAGCACCGACGGCTTTACTCAGCGCCGGCAGCACCCAGGGCAGCGCCGACGACGCCTTTAAACAGAGAGTAGCGAATTAAATTGCAGGACACTGGCTCAGTCAACACCAATGTCGGTTCAACCCTTGTTTCTAGAAGATTCGACGTATTTGGACAATTTTTGAAGAGATTTGGGAGGCACCTCTTGGAGAAGGGAGGCACCTCTTGGAGAGATTTGGGAGGCACCTCTTGGAGAACCGACTTTAGGCTCTATTTAGGGCTAAAATTCATCAGAAAAAAATGCTCTTTTTTTGTCATTCTTCATTTCCATTCATCCTCCTATGCGCCATACATTCTTCCATCTTCCTTCCACCACCATATTGGAGTCAATTAGTGGGTTTTATTTAAGAGTTTAGAGTTTTTGTGGTAAGATTAGTGTGAATCTTTCTCTAAGAGTGTTGGAGAAGGGGAAAAGTGAGAAATATATTCTTCATGCATTTCTTAGGAAAGACTACAAGGGATTTGCTTTGAGAAAGAGTTTCATATAAGTATTGTTCGTATTGTTCGTTTATCAGTACTGTATGAACTTTCTTTTATATATGAAATTTGTGTTTTGTTTTATCTTTCTCATGAAGTCTGAGTAGTTTCCTTTATCTTTCTCCCTACTTTGTGATATGGTGAAATGAGGAGATAACATAGATGTGTCAATATTAAAATATAAAATAAATTGTGATGATTTTTCAACTCGGAACTTAATTTACTTTTCGATATGGTCAATTGAATTGTTAAAATATGTTGTGAAACATATGATCCAGGAAATGGAGTATGAGTTCTACAACAGAGTGAGGATCACATTTGATTACATGGAGAAGAAATTCGTTCATGGAATTAAGTGCAAATAAATAGAGAAATATTCTTTGTTGGGTGTAGAATTGGTGGATCCTTAGGGTGACAGACTAAAATCCCCAATTCGGTCTTAGTGTTTAAAAATTAAAGCGAGAGTTAGCCTTCAGGTGAAGGGAAGTGGGAGCCGGTATCCTCCTAGCCTAACCACGGATTTAGGGACTAAACCTGGGATTAGCCAATGATTTTCTATGCACTGTATCAGGGTAGAGAATTAAAACTGCTCCTATTTAGCACAATACATATTATAAACATTTATCTCATCTCATTTCACTAAAACCTCATTGTAATGGGAAGGAAGCTTTTTTCACATAAGAAATCTTCATTACATAAATATTGTTAGTAGATTAGTAGTTACAGTTTAAATTTCGCATTTCTGTTTTGCTAACACTTAAGTAATTTAGTTTTGATAATATCTCAACATTCGAAATTAGTGACAGTGATTTTGTTTGACTTTCTGTAAATTTCCTAGTTAATTTGTCATCTCAAATTTAAATCTTCCCCGTGGGATCGATATTTAGGGCTTAAACAAAAAATTCATTATTACTTGATAACGACTTGCGTAGAAACTCATTATTAAATGCCTATACTTATATAAATTTTACACAACTTATTTTGCACGGATCAAGTTTTTGGCGACATTGTCGGGGATTAAAAACTTTAAGTAGTGGTGACAACTTCATAAATCCTTGCACATAAAAAATATCGGGATCACCCGACAAGCTTCTTCCTCCCTCATTCCTGATCATTTTTTACGAGGCCCAAGATCTCAGGGGTGACCTCTCTTCCTTAGAGTAGAGTTAAGCATTTAGAGCACTCCTATGGCAGAAGATCTAAGCACATGAAGCGACAACGTGCACAACAATATTCTTGGCAGTACAAGTATATTGTTGTAATGTCATGGGTCTTTTCCCAACCCTTGGGAGCTAGCCAGGTGCACTTTTCAGCACCGCCAATCTATCAATTATATTTGAAGGTTGGACTTAATGCAGTTATAGGAGATGATGATGAGTGCTTCGAAAATAACATGTCATCTAAATTTTACGGGGAGTGTGTGTTTTGTTGTTTGTTTATTTCAATAGTCTTTTCTTTATACAACAAGAAGTGAGTTTGGGCATGGAGCTGAGGGGAGAGATTTCTATTGTGTGACTTCATGTACAGATCATAATTTCTTTAAATTGCATCTCTTATTTATATATGTTATATTATCTTGTTCCGTTCCGTAATGGCTTCCGCACCAGGGGGGCAAGAAACCGCCCGTATCAAACGGAAAAGCTACTAACTTTCGCCTCGCAACGGGGAAGGATGCCCAACAATGCCGGAGGTCTCTTCACCAGTATATCATCGTCTCCACCATCACCGACGATTTGTTATCTGGGGTTTTCTTTCGAGAATTTTCTCGATGTCCATAATTCCGGCCTCTGTTTTAAGGAATCTTGCTGATAAGCTAGACGAGAAGCGCAAGAATGCAGCATATGAGGTCGGAGTCATCGTAAAGCAATTTGCTCAGGCGGGAGAGCATGAAAAGATAGCGGCTGTAATTAATCTGCTAGCCATTGAATTTACGTGTTCTCCGCAGCCCAACCATAAAAAGGGGGGTTTACTGGCGTTAGCTGCAGCTACACTTGCTCTGTCTTCAGAAGCTTCTCGGCATCTGGAGGAAATTGGACCACTAGTGATTAATTCTTTTATTGACCAAGACAGTAGGGTTCGATATTTTGCTTGTGAAGCATTATACAACATAGCAATGGTTGTTAGAGGAGAAATTAATGTATTTTTCAATCAGATTTTTGATGCACTCTGTATGCTCTCAGCAGACTCAGACCTCAATGTACGAAGTGCTGCTCATCTTCTTGATCGACTCATGAGGGATATTGTAACTGACAGTCATGAAATCAGCATAGAAGAATTTATACCTTTGTTACGGGAACGCTTGAATGTGATAAATCCCTATGTTCGATTATCCTTGTTGAATTGGATTACTGTGTTGGATAATGTTGCAGGGATTGACATGCTTAGATTCCTTCCAGATTTTCTTGATGGTTTGTTCAATATGCTGAGTGATTCTAGCCATGACATACGTGAGCAAGCTGGGACTCTAATTTCAGGATTTCTACAAGGAATGATGAATTCTAAGAATGTAGATTTTGGTCGTGTGGCTGAAATTTTGGTTCGAAGGGCAACTTCTTCTAATTCATTTAGCAGGCAAATCTCCATCAAATGGATAGATGAGCTTTTAAAAGTTGGTGGAAACCAGCTTGTTTCTTATTATGCTGATATTCTTGGAGCAATTCTACTCTGCATATCTGACATAGAAGAGGAAGTAAGAGTTGTGGCTCGTGAGACCAATGAAGAGCTTTGGGCAATTTGTTCTGACCCAGCTGAGAAATTTGATGTAGGAGCCATCTTGTCTGTTGCAATGACAAAATTAGCTACTAAATTTGTTGCAACAAGACTGGAATCTCTTCACTGGATTCAGAGGCTTCTAGCTTGTCATCATTCCGAGGCCATGACATACTTGAATGACATATTTGACTCCCTTTTGAGAACATTAGCAGATCCCTCGGATGAGGTTGTCCTGCTTGCGCTGGAAGTTCATGCATGCATGGCAAAAGTCACTCAACAATTTCAACATCTTGTGGTTTCTCTGATCAGCACCTTCCGCTCCAATCATATTCTTCTTGAGAAGCGTAGTGCTTTGATAGTACCTCGGCTCTGCGTTCTCTTGGATGCCGAACGTGTGTACAGAGAATTTTCCCAAATTCTTGAGGGTGAAAAAGATCTTAGTTTTGCATCAAACATGGTGCAAGCTCTGAATTTGGTTCTCCTTACCTCGTCTGAATTGACCGACTTGAGAAATCTTCTGAAAAAATCATTGATGGATCCTGCCGGCAAAGATTTATTTTTGTGCTTGTATTCTTCTTGGTGTCATTCACCAATGGGAATCATAAGTTTGTGCTTACTTGCTCAGGCCTACCACCACGCCAGTGCTGTAATTCAAACACTGGCGGAGGAAGACATGAATGTGAAGTTCTTGATGCAGTTAGACAAGCTCATAAGCCTGCTGGAGGCTCCAGTGTTTACTCACTTAAGATTGCAGCTTCTGGATCCTAGCAGATGTGCATGGCTGTTGATGACACTTTATGGCCTCTTGAATTTGCTGCCTCAGCAAAGCGCAGCCTTCAAGATATTAAAAACTAGATTAAAAACCATTCCTCCACACACCCTGTCTGATGATCAACTCAAACGGGAAGGGAAAATTGTCAATGACATTAACTTTGAATCTCGGCTGCAAGAGTTTAAGAACATGCAGAACCGGCATCGGATGCATTCGAGATCTTCCTGTACAAATTCTGGACAATTTCATCAACCCAGACTGCGCCAATCTCGACGTGCCAGTCGTGTTCATTTTAAATAGTTTTCTCTATTTCAGGTAAATATATGAATTCAGTGGGTTTATAATAGTTATCATAGTCTTTCGTAGTTTAGGAAAGGTGTTAGGGCAGAGATTAGGATTAGGGTTAGTTTCATAAACGAGCTGTTATTTTTTCCTGCTCATATCGGCTATTTATATTCTCGACTGTGTCTTTTTTTATGAAAAATTATTCCATATCAATCACTCGTCACAGCAATGTTCTATTTCAGTGAGTCTCATTTTTTTTTTTAAATAAATTAAGACGAGCGGTCGAGATCGAACACCGTATGTATTTCTGCATACGTTGTCTGTGTGAAATAATTCTTTTTTATTGATTTTATATATATATATATATATATATCATATTATACTTTATATTACTTTGCTTGTGTTTATGCTTGTGTTGCTTCATGCAATAAATTTATTTAGAATTTGTACTTATAAGAAGCAACTTAATTAATTTAAAATTATTTACATATGAATTAATAAGTGAGTGTTGTAATTAAAAATAATAATAAACTTTTAGAAGCTATTGAAATTCATATTGATATAATAATAGCTAATTGATTTGGATATATTAATAGATCTTTTAAGTTCAGGAAAGCTAGATACACTTGAACTGAATTGACTAAAATATAATTTAAATAAATAAGTAATATGGAATTTTTATAAACATAAATTCATTTAACTTAAGAAAGATTAGTATCATTTAAGTTATAATACTTAGAATGAAAAATGAGAAAGTAGACTTGATTTAAGTAAGAGAAGATAAGGTATTCAAAATCATTAAATTTTTTTATCAAATATAGCTATCTTAAAAAATTAAAATAAAATAAAATAATGAAAAGTGAAAAAGCTCATGGTATTAAAAAAAAATTATAAATAAGAGCTAAAAGTGAGAAGCTTGATGATAAAGTTTAATGCACAAAAAATTGGTATATATTAACTTCTTTAACTTGAACAATTTTAAATTTTCATTAAAAATTAAAGTATTATATTTAAAATGTTAAAATCTAAATTAAATTTTCATGATTAATTAAGTTAAATTTGATATTCACTTATTGATTAAATGAATTTTAGTCAATGTTGATCTTTAAGCACTTTGGCATCTTGAAGGGAAAGAATATTTAATTTTTGTAAAAATCATGCATTTTTAGAATTTTTTTTTATGAATATTACTTTATACTTTATTTGATAATAATTCTTAAATTAACTCCTGCTCATTTCATCTAGGATATAAAACTTAGAAGAACATATTACTTGAGAATAAGTAATGTTTGAGTTTAGGGGATTGTTGAGTGAGAAAATACAAAAACATATACATCATTTTCAACCTTTATTCCATATTTTCTTTGTATTTTGGCATAATTTTATATGTTTTAATGTAGGAAAATCCTTAAAATGAATTCAAGAAGATTAGGTGATTTTTACTGCAGTACTTCGGTGTCATACGTGGATTAGAATACATAAAGATTCCCTTGAACTCAAAGCCTATGTGCCAAATACCCATTGCCTAACTGCTAGAAAGAGGCACCACAACACCATATGATGCAAAACCAAAGTTCCACAAAAAGATAGAAGGTGGAGCCAAAGACAAAGGGTAAAGAGCCTAGGTGTCGCACACTCAGTGACTAGATGACCATATTCATCACTGTTACACCATCTTTTAGAGCTTCATAGTGTCATCTATGCTAAAATAAAGAATCAGAAGATAGAGAGCTCACAATTGCAATGTCAAAACCTGAGAGCCACTACACTAAGCCAATGTTATTGTGTTATGACTTGAATATAATAATTTTGCCTCCCCAATTTTAGTTTGTTTTCACTGTTACACCATTTTATAGAGCTTTATAGTGTCATCTATGCCAAAATAAAGAATTAGAAGATAGAGAGCTCAAAATTCCAATGCCTAAACCTGAGAGCCACAACACCAAGCTAATTTTCTTGTGTTGTGGCTCGAAGAGAACAATTTTGCCTCCCCCAATTTCAATTTTTTGGGGAGAATGGTTTGTTTTTGTTCATATTCTCTCTTCTATTTTTGTAGGAGTCACGAGATTGTCTATTTATAATCGCGTATAATTTCCTTATTCGAGTAAATCTCCCTCTCATATAAAATGAATGATCCAAAGAGGAGAGGAACTGAAAGGAGGGGATATACGACGGGCAATAAAAAAACAAGCAAAAAAACTTTGGGAATTTTTATAAAGTGAACTTCGCATGGATAGCCCTAAAGCGTACGTCTGAAACAAGATCGGATTGAAAAATACCTTAGAGACAAATATGTGAAGAGGACTTTAAAAAAGCAACCCACAAACAGATAATCAAATATAAATGCTTGTTATGGAGTCAAGAACAACTCCTAAAGGAGCATATTGTTTTGGTTAATTATATCTTGAGGAATATCCAAGAAAACTCTCGATAAAAAGGGTCATGCTTGCATAATTAATTAAATTTGATTATTTGAGAAACCAATGGATTTAAATCATCTTGAGAACATCTCGATGCTTTCGACATCTATGTTGGGTCATAGGGCAGAGGGTGAATCACTGTAACCACTACGGGCGATGACACATATGCATGTGATGCCCATGAGAAGATATCAACAATTTATCAAAAAAAAACAACAGAGCTCAAAAGTGGGTAGTCAAAGGAAGGGAAGAGTAATCCCTATGTGGTCAGGGTACCACATACTCATCATCCCAAGCTACTACGATACCGTAAGTCTACTTGGACGTGAAGGAAGTCGAACCAACATTACTAGAGGCTCCTTGTCAGCAATCTGTGAATTGTGTCATCCAAAGAAGACTTTGTAGACCTAGAGGAATGAAACTTTTTCATATGATTATCAGGTAGAGCTCCAAGAAATGATATTTATTCCTGTCGAAGTGGCTAGGACGCCACTAGAAAGAAGAGAAAAGAAGGTTCAGCTACAAAGTTGTAAACACTCCAGACAAAGGATTTATACGTCATCAGAGTGAGGGATGCCTCTACCACCATAGGCGCTCTAGACAACTGTATAAATAAAATTTTATTCCTGGTAAAGTCAGGTATGGAGGAGCACGGGGACTTTTCCTCAGGTATATGCATACGATGCAGTTTTCTACCACAATTCTATGGTGTGAAGACCTTATTAAATATGTTTGGGTAGATAGCCAGGCATACGAAGCAATGGTCATGCAGAAAAGTAAAGTGTGCTATAATATTTTAACTCTAACTGTGAATTATTCTTAATCTTTTATTATTAAGATTTTATAAAAATTTTAATATTGTAGGGTCCTTAATGAGCCTAAATTATTTTCCGTGATTAATCTCAGACAAACCACAAAATAAAACAAGAAGAAAACAATTTCAAGCACCAAAGCAAGCATTATAGAATTAAAAGCGCCCAAAATAAATATAGAAAGGTCGATTTTGCTAGGTTAGCAACATTTCTCAGGAAAAGCTGAAAAAAGTAGTCAGGCACCTCATAAATATAATTAATCCTAATTCTATACAATAATATAAATTTAGGCTTAAGATACAAGTCACGAGCTTACTGCTCCTCATCCCTCATCACATGGCCCGATGCGTCGATGCCTCAGAGCATGTGCTTGTACCTCAAGCTGTAAATAATGTTAGCACGGGTTGGCATGCAATGCATATGAGCCACGTCATATAAGAGGAGCTTAGCAATGCCTGCAAAAAAGAGTTAGTATAATCATTACATTGCTCCCCCCTAATTAAATATATATGTGTGTGTATATAAAAACCAATCTAATATACTATTGCGCATACAAAAACACTGTAAACATGCAACCACATTAAAAGCATAAGTGAAAAAGGCACTTGGGCGTAGAACAATAGTCAGGTGTCAAAAAATACTACCTAGCAATCTATCACACAATCTAACAAAAGTGTCCTAACTAGCATATAAGTGCAGAGTCAAGTATCTGAGTATCGTATGAATTTGACGGGGTCACCACACCAGCCCAGTCTTAAAGATCCAAGGAATCTAAAGAGTGTCACCCAAAATGGATTTTTTTAAAAGGTTTGACCTTACATATGGCCTAATTTGTTATTCGCGTAGTTTTAAAGTATGGTGGACACTATTAATAAGGAAAATACTTATTTTTTATTTTTAAATATGGTCATTAAATGCAAACCTGTAATAGGCAAGGTGGCATGAGTTAGCTCTCTTGGATCCATAGTACAGTCATAATTGTGTCAATCTCGATGTTTTAACTTGCATTGCTCACTGGGATAAACCCGACGAACAATGTTCATTAAAACATAATGACCGGCATAAGGTCACTCACCTATCGATTCTGGATAGCTATCGAAACACACACGCAGATGTAAGTAGAAGCATGTGACGTACAAGATCACAAATCATGCAAATGATGAACTCAAATGCAATACGCTTAATGGGTTTATAGGCTCTAAGGCGTAACCCTGATTGAGTATACAAGGTGAAAAGACTTGTTAGCTCGAGTGTGGTGCCACAAGAGATGTTGTGGTATGTCCTATGTTATAGGAAATTCACACATCAGCGGGTTAGCATTGCTAGCCATCTTTCACCACAAAATACGAATATCAAACCGCACATACATAGTTGCATATGCACGCGGTGATACCACAAGTGTCGGTGCTCATTGAGACACCAAAATATAGGCACATGTCAAAGGCAAAAGGTTTAATTTTTCATCATGAAAATGAGTTTATCATATATCATAACATTTAAAAAGTTTAATTTTCATGCACATACAAGTGTGAAATTCAAACATGTCATACGAAGAATGTAAAGGATGCAAGTGCACATGCAAAGCACATGAATATGCAAGTGAAGTTGGCCACTTACCTATTGTTTTATCCGGGGAGGTCAACTAGGTGTCATGGTCAACTAGGTCTATTGTGCTGGGGCGGCCAACTTGACCAAAGGATCGGTCGACCAGACTGAGATGGTTGAACGAACCTAGTGATCGGTCAACCGAGCTGGGATGGTCTAGTGGACCTAAGTGGTCGATCAACTGAGTTGGGGCGGACGCCGGTCCTAAGTGGTCGATCGATCGTGCTGGGGCGGCCCGGCGAACCTAAATGATCAGTCGATCGGGTTGGGGTGGCTGATCGAACCTAAGTGGTAATCTGACTGTGTCGGAACGACGGTCAAGCCAATGTGGCGCATA